AAGCAAGACCTTAGACAGAATTATGTCATTTTAATTCATTAATTCAGTCGTTATTCACTATTCAGTTGACAGCTTTCAAAAGAAGGCGTGAGGGGAAAAAAAACCAACTCAGCGATGTACCTGGTCATGGGGTGGTACTTGTATAGTCTGGCATCCAGGTTGTGGGGCACTGGTGGGAGGTGCTGCCCGCGGGTTCCTCCCTACTCCCTCCCCCCCCTCCCCTCCCCTCTTCTCTTCTTCTTGCCTTCCTCTTCCCCTCTTCTCCTTTTCCGCCTCCCCCTTTTCCCCTTCCCTGGTCTCAGTAGAAGCAGATACCTGTAGAATAGAATCATTAAGCTGCTTGGCTTTAATTTTAAGCTTAGTGCGTATTTCATATTCTGGGTCCTAGGTCAGATTTTTCTGAAATTTCCGTCCTGTTTTTTGTACTCAGGTCTTACCATCCATCCAGGCCTCACCGTCTGAGTTTGTTGTCACGTTCTAAGTAGAGTATTTCATCTTTAACATTCCCATGCTTTGGTTATGCTGATATCTCCTGTCCAGAATGCCAGTGGTAATGTGATTAAATAATAATTTTTATTCTCCCACAAAAAATTGAGCCCTACCTCAAATGGAGCTCAGCAGCCTTTTCCCTTGATCCATTGGCCTAGATTGTAGAATCTCGTTTTTTACCTCCTCTCTTCTTTTATTCAAATCGTTCCTTTGTTCTTTAAGAAACAACTTGAATATCATCTTTGTGAGGCTTTCCCCACACTCCATCCTTCACATTGCTTTTTTTCTTGTTTGTTTGTTTGTTTTGTTTTGTTTTTTCTGGTACCGGGAATCGAACTCACGACCTTGCGCTTGCCAGGCAGGTGCTGTGCCACTGAGCTAAATCCCCAGCCCCCTTCACATTGCTTTTCTTTCAGAGCGTGTATAGATTTTATTGCTACTTTTTGAATGTACTCTACCAAACTCAAGTCTCTCAAGGCAAGAAACCTACATTTAAGTTTCTCAGTTTTTACCTCCTTGCTCATCATTCCTGGGTACTCAGTAGATGCTGGGTGTATATGCATTTTCTTAAAACTTCATCTCAGTTATAATATCTCAGGGAAGTAGCCCACTTTCCTGCCAACAGCAGGACCCACTTTTCTGCCTGAGGTTAAGGACAGGTGGCAGGTGTGGAAGGGAGCCGGGAGCTTGGGGGAGGCGGGAGATGAGAAGTGTCTTGTGCTTGCCTCAGTTTCTCAGAGGTCTCGCTCTGCCCTGACAGATGGTAGCCACTAGCCAGCCACACTTGGCTGCCTAAATTTAAGGTAATTAAAATGAGAATTCAGTTCCTCGGCCGTGATAGACACGTGCAAAGCCCTCGGTAAACTCTTGTGGCTGGTGGCTCTTAGGTCGCTCAGATGGAGAACATTGCCATAAGTGGGACTGTTTGCTGTTAATGTTATCTTGCACCTTATTTCTGCACTTCTTTTAAAAATAGAGCGCAGAAATAAGGTGCAAGATAACACGCAGGACTTCAGAGACATTCTCCCTTGTCTGGTGGTTTTCTTCTGTGCCCTTAGGTGCCTCAGTATGCCTCTCAGCTCGCATTAAAGATTGTTTAGTGGAAAATTAGAAAAATCCTGTCATAGTAGGATATGGTACAATTTTAAGGATCAGGCCTACTTTCTGGTATGCATCCTGATAATCTTGGGTATTGTAGAAGAAATACTGTTTTTTAGCATCCTGAGACACCTCTTTACATTGGCATTTTAATTTACTTATATAAGATGTCTTCATTTCCATCAGCCATAAATGCCTGGCTAAAAACCTCTAAGCTAGAGGTTCTTTAAGAACACCATAAAATAGAAACCATGACTTTCACGAATTCTTCTGGATATATATATTTTTTTATTGGTAGGGTGAGTGCAGCCTGTATAAAATGGTGTTATAAAACTGTTCGTGGATTTATGGTGTCTCCGTAACATGCATTTTGTAGTCAAGCTGGACGAGAAAGGCCCTAAAGAAAAATAGACAGGTGGCGAGCTGGGGTGGCTGACATACTCGTCAGTATTTGGTGCCCGTACGTTGCGGTTGGAAAATGTGAAGTTTGCTGCAGTATGTGTGTCAGTACACGGGGACGAAACACTAGATGTCAGTGTTGTAGTTTTGACATTTCCCCAGCAGCTGTTAAAGATTTTTCTGATTTAATCGCCCAGCTAGTTTTCACTGACAAACTTTTAACCATTGTGCTTCTTTACACTTAGATAAGTGCTTAAGGCAAACACTTTTTCCAAAGAACTGTTACTAGCATCTTACAGTATCAGGTTTAAAACATATTAAGGTATGTGTTTTTCAACTAACTGCATCCTCTAAATTGTTTCTCATCTTCTGGTTCCGGGTGACACTTCTTGGGGAAAAGTTCTATGGCTCTGAAATTTGGTAGACACTCACATTTTAATTGAATCGAAGTGCCACCAGTTTTCCTTTGGAGAAATTTAGATATCTCTTCATAATATTGTGGGCGGTAGTATAGTTTTTATGTCACCTGTCTTTGTACGTCAAAGTCTGAAGTCACACTTCATTAGACTTTTTAAATTGACCCTGCATGAAGGGTACATTAAATATGTGCTAAATGAATTTCTATTTTAAAAATATTTTTCTTCATTAGGAAATATGCAGCTCTGTAACGGTAATAGAATAAGAGACGTTTTCTTGTGTTTAACATTTCCTTTAAAATTTCCATGCTGGGGCTGGGGATTTAGCTCAGCGGCAAAAGCGCCTGCCTGGCAAGCGCAAGGTCGTGAGTTCGGTTCCCCGTACCGGAGAAAAACCAAAAAAAAATAAATAAATAAAATTTCCATGCGATTGACATGTTTTAAAATCATGCATTTAAAGAATAGAAATTACTATTTTTATTCACTTAAATCTAATTTTATGTAGCGTTCAGTTAATTTTTTGAAGATACTTCATTTTTCTTCATGTTCTTGAGGGTTCAGTTTTGAATACATGTTTTTGTTTTCTGTTGTTACAAATTTTTATTTGAATGTATTACTTATTTTATGTCTCTTGTTCACAAATTCTCAGCACTTAAGAAATAAAAATACAAACAGGTTAAGTATCTCTTACATGAAATGCTTGGGGCCAGAAAAGTGTTTCAAAGTTCAGAAGTTTTCAGATTTTGAATATTTGCATAGACTTTGCTGGTTGGACACCCTTAATCCACAAATCAAACTCGAGAATGTTGTGAAATACAAACTTTTAGACCTCCATTTGTTCAAAAGGTTTTGGAGTGTGGAGCACTTTTAGATTTCAGTGTTCAGATTAGGGATGCTTACCTGTGTTATGCAAAAGGAATACCTAAACTCTAAGTATGGAGATGTCTAGTTAGCAGTCAGCTCTGACCATAGTCCCCTCTGATCCACACTTTAGAGTCAAGAGATTAAAGGATCTCTCCAAAGCTAATAGTTCAGCCTGCATTCTCTTTAATTTTGGTTATAGCAGTAAGCTGACACAAAAAGATAAAGAGGCTATTTGAAGGTAAAACATACATGTTTTGTTGAAATTATTTGAAGAAAAAACTGAGGCTTGGAGTTGGACAGATAACATTGAAGTGGTAACAGTCAGTGGGCTTCTGAGGGGTGGAGCAGAAACCAGTGACAAGCCGGGGCTTGGCCTGGGTGCTGGAACCAGGGCACACTCAGTGGGAGGCCGTGCTCCTCATCCGGTATGTTTCAGCGCATGTTCTGGCTTAGGCCCAAGGACATTCTAATTAAATGAAGCAGGGAGCAGCAGGAACCCTGCTTGTGCCTGGGCCTTTTCCTTTATTTTTTGCCTTTGTATTTTATCATAATGTAGAAATTGTTCTAATTATCAGTACTGTTTTTTGTGTAGTAGAAATAGTTTGACAGGAATAGTTTCGGGTAGTGACCTTTTTTGTACTAATCTTTGAGATTCATCTAGTCTGCAGTCAGCCAAAGGAGTTTCCACATTTGTTGCCCAACGATGTAGCTACTAAGTGGCAACTGTGTATCACTGAGTTTTCTTCCTTTTCACTTGCTCTGGGGTGCCTGTGATAGCTCTTCTGCTTACTAAGAAACATTCTGGTTCCTAAACTAAGCTGTTTCTCCTTGGAAATATTTCCTCATAACCTGAGTTCTGCAGGAAGCAGGCACTCTCCAAGGGCCCCGGTCATACAGACGCACGTATTCTATATGGGCCGCTTGTGCTGGCTAAGTGCAGTTCACTTCCGAGGAGGTGCAGAAAGGTCGCTAAGCCTAAGGCACCCAGAACTGCTTAGCAAGTTGATTTGCTTGTGAAGCTTCCATCTGTGCTGTTTTTTCTGTAATCCTGGGACCCTCGCCATTTGAATCTTACATGATGAAGTAGTTTGGTGGTAACGTATATATACTGTCTGGGGCAGTTCTGCATGATGAAGTTCAGCAGTGTGCTTAAAATGTGTATGTTGAACTCAGAACTAGATATTTTCATTCAGTCACCCACAAGTGGAATTGAGCATTACCTTGGGCATATCATTAGACAGGTTTTTTGTAGTGTTTTCTGCACACAAATGCAGAATTTTATATATATCTTGGCCAGATCCACTAGAGAAACTGTTTGAACACTGCACCATTTGTTAATTTTTGAAGTTCTTTGTTGTTGTTCTGACAGAGTCTGTTACTGTTCTTAGGTGGTTCAGTGCCGCAGTGAGGGTGCACGCGCCTGAGAACACTGTCTGGCCTCACGACAGTGCCCGTCACAGCTGGCAGTGGGAAACCGGTGGCACCGGCTGTCGGGTTTGTTTCTGCTGCCTGGCATCTTGGTCTTGAAGCCACCGCCACCTCCCTGTCCCTGTGGCCAGGTTAGGTCTTTGGGGCCAGTTGCGGTGGGAGAGCCGCTGCCCTCGTCCGCCACCACTCCTGCAGAGTGGGACTGGGAGAGTCCTTTTTGCAGGAGTAGAGGTGGCGGAGCCGCTTGAGGGGCCTCGGGGCAGCCTCTGGCTGGGTACTAACGTTTGACCTGTGTTTCCCTCTCAGGTTCTGAGGGAGGCTGTGGGCTGTCCGACGATGGAGCCGTGGAAGCAGACAATGAGGAGGATGCTGAAGCCCGTGACAAAGAAAATGAAAACACTGCCGACTCCGGTGCTGGGGCTAATGTGGGCTGGGCAGATGCCATGGCTAAGATCCTTAACAAAAAAACGCCTAAGAGTAAACCCACCATTCTCATCAAAAACAAAGAGCTGGAAAAGGAAAAGGAGAGGCTGAAGCAAGAAAGACTGGAGAAAAGAAGGCAGGTGTGTCTTAGCACTGAGGCGTATTCTGATCTGTGCCACGCTGTTCCTTGCGGTATTCGTCCAATTAACATTCTGGCTTTTAACTTGCTTTTGACGTGGGGTGGACAGCCAAGGTTGCATTCGGAAACCTGGCCTGAATTACTCCGCGGACCTCCTTCACCCCTTCGTCATCTAAGCAAGCAATAAAAATGTAAACTTGGCAGAGGTTTATCTTTTAAATCAAGTAATTATACACGTGGCAGCGACTCCTTTATCTAAATATAGTATTCATTTTAGCCGTCCATGTACTGTCTTCATTAAGTTCAGACTAATAGAAGCGTGTTACAGTACGATGTCACAAGTCAGGTTGTTTCTAATTCTTAAGACTGATTATTTGGCTGTTGGATAAACCTGAATTCATTATGCTTTTGTTAAACCTACTGATGATTGATGAAATCTATTAACTTAAGCCAAAAGTTGGTTTTTAATAGTCCTTGTACTTGATGACGTATCTCTCTGTATTGAAACATTTGATTGCTAAAATAAGTACTATTCCATAATGAAAGAAAAATATTCTTATTTAATTGTACTGGCAGTATAGAAGTATTCATTTCCAAGAAGTACTTCACAGGTAAAAATGAAAGGAAAATAGATTTCATTGGTATATATTTCCTTCTGTACTTACCATCCCTTGACGTTGTTTCACGATGCATGTTTTCTTCGTTTTTATTTCTGGTTGCTCTGTGTGACAGGCTAAGGAGGGACTTTCTCAAGCATTGTTCTTAGAAACGCAGCGTACAGTGTGTACTCTTATTAATTTGGTATTCTTGTACTTGAAGAGGTTTCATCTTTAAATCTTATAGATGGCCTTTCAGCTGAAGATTTGAATCTCTGTTGTTTATTGTCTGGCAAAAGCTAGAAGAGGCTTTAAAAAGCAGAATCTTTATTACCTCTAGTCTCAAAGTTCAGTGAGAGCAAGAACAGCGTTTTGACGGCAAGCAGAGCAAGTCTGTAGCTCTGCTGTGGGCCAAGGCTGTGCGTGTGGAGGTGGCATCATGCGCCTAGTGCGTGAGCAACGCTTGCCCATCCCAGAATCGCAGCCTGTGGGGCTATTTGTGAAGCGCTCCTGCTGCACAGGCTGTGCGAATTGCTACTAGGTTTAGTTCTAGCATAATCTGTTAGTGAACTCATGACTGTTAAAGCGAATTACCTGATTTGGAGATGAATCTGTTTCTTTACAGAGGAATCAGGCTGATCTTTCTAGTGAAAGCAGGACTTTGGTTTCATTGTTAGGCATTTCAGTAATAGATTTTGAGAAGTGAATAGAGCAAAGAATTGCTCTTTTTGTTACTTTAGGGATGTTTTTGATGCTTACTGAGGTAGCTTCTAGGTGATCAGTTCATTCATAGTATATTTGATATTTGCTTGAATGCTGGCCTGAGAAAGAGACCTGAACAAACAATGTGACAGATGCTGCCCAGAGACAATTTTGAACCAGGTTGTGTTGTCTGGGAGGTTTTCTTATTTTCCTGTTCCTCTTCTATTTTTACACAGTAGCAGAGAAACCATTGCAGCAGGTTGTGATATATGCTGTACATGGCAAGACTTTTGTTCAGACAGATGTAAGAGGAGAAAGGGAGTTAAATGATGTCACTGAAAGAAAAATAGCCACTACATGAGTATCTGAATATGATGCTCTCCTTTTAAAAGCTGGTACATGCTCTTAATTCTGACTGTCGAGGGAGTTGCTTTCTGAAATAAAGAGAAACGGTGCTTAAACGTGTAGTTTACCAACTTGGGTGGTGTGGGTGTTCCTTCGGTGATCTGCTGGCAGGGGTCAGACTTGTGGCTCCCTCAGACCCGCCCTTGCTGCCTCCTCAAGATGCTGGCCGCCTTCCAGGGCCCCTGCTGTCAGATAACCCAGAGGAAACTCGCTCAGTGCCTCTCCCGTGACGTGCTACATGCCAACCACAGGCGTTCGGGGCTGAACCTTAAAACTGAGGTTTTTTTAAAAGTCCCTGTGACAAACTAAGCCAGAGTGATTTATTACCTCTGTCCTTTCGCAGAGTATCATATCAAAGTTTGCTGCACTTTCAAAAATGCCTAATAGTCTTTCACCTAACAATATTTATAACGCAGCTGGACAAGAAGCGAGAGTGGGAAATGATGTGTAGAGCAAAGCCAGATGTCGTCCAAGACAAAGACACGGAGAGGAATCTCCAGAGAACGGCAACGAGGTGAGAGGGTGGTTTTGGCTTTTCGAAAGTAAGTACGCTGAAGCTTTGATAGTGAGCTGTTTTTATCAGATCTGATTCTTAAGCTCTGCCTCCTGGAGTCCACATGATAGCTACCTAAGCCCATTGTTCAATACTGAAGCTCTCGGAAGATTCCAGAGGCAAGAATGTACGTGGGGTGCAATTTTTCAGAGTCACAGGGACAGTACAGTCAGACCTCTTACTGCATCTCTCTTCTGATGGTTCTGTAAATGTATGATGTTAGATGATTCTTTCTGTTGTCTTGCACTGTTTATGAGGTAATACGGTACACATTATGGCAGCTCAGTGCTGTCCCTTCACTCTGCCTTCTTTTTTTTCAAATCATTGGCCGCCAAATATTTATTTGATGCTGTGTCCAAAGATAAATAAGGAACTGTGGCTTCTAGGTGGTCCTGGCCCACTCACCTCGGAATTACAGTGCCTGAGAATAGAGAACTCTGTCCCAGGTGTTGGGAACACACGGCAGGAGATTGTCTTGAGGGGCTGGGAGGCCTTCACAGAGCACCTGGCATTTAAACTGCTGTCAGAAGAGTGAGCCAATTCCATTCAGTGGAATTAACTTGGAGTTCTTAGTTACCTCAGTTCTTTTGGTCGCTTTCTAGTCCATTTAAGTGTTACTAGCGTGAGGACTAGGGTGTGGTGATTTAGGCCATGGCTAATAGGACACTTAGGTTCGGATACCAGTGCTGACTTCTAGCTGGGCCTGCTACTTAATTTCTCTTTCTCAGCGCATCTGTTTGAAGAGGATAATCTGACACCTAGTTTATGTAGTTCATACATTGATAAAGAACTCAGAGAAACATGGAGCCAGCACACAGGAAATTTGTGCCCTGGGCACTTTACTTGCTTCTGGTCCTGGCCTGCTGAAGGGGCTGGAATGGCACTCTCCCTGGAAGTTCACAGTACCTAGTGGTAAAGCTGTTTGCGTGCCTGTAGATGGCAAAAGAGTTCTGCATCAGAGACAAAGAGCCCTATTACTCAGGACAAAGCAGTAGCCAGAGCTTGCAGTTCTCCCTGGTTCCTGTCGTCCCCCTAGGGCACGCGGGTGCCCTGGGTAGATGCTGTCGTCCCACGCGCTGTGGCTTGTGTTACGGGGTGGAGGTGCTATGCTGGGGAGCCGTTGAGGGCAGCAGCATAGGGATTGGTAACAAGCCTTCTTGTCTGGGAGGAGTCCTTATTTTATCTGTCAAGGTCATTTACTCTAGCGCAGCCCTGAGAAATTACTTGGGGAAATACCACTCAGGGCCTGTTTTTGAAAAGTCGAGCAAAAATGTGCAGATGTATTCAGGCCTGTGGCAGATTGCCTCTTCTAAGAATTATTACAGAAAAGCATTCATAGACCATAGAATTTTCAACCTTTAACAGCAGAAATAAAACTTGAGCCACATATGTAATTTAAAATTTCTTCATAGCCTCATTGCAGAAAGTAAAATGAAAGATGTAAAACTGAGGTCAATAATATATAATCCAGTATATTCACAGTATTTTAGCATGTACTTGATGTAAAAGTTAGTCCTAAAATTTTAAAATTCTTTTCATATTTAATCTTTGAAATCCAGGATGTTTTACGTTTATAGCACTTGTCAATTCAGATCAGTCATGCATGTTTCAAGTGCTCGGTAGACACGTGCATGTGCGGCTTCTGCATCGGACACTGTAGATGGTAATCATCACAATTCATCTTTGAGTGAATGTACACAGGACAGAGTTTTTAAAATAAATATCCCTAAAAGTAGGATGTGGAAGGTGGGTGCCGGGGATCTGACTGGGTCTCACATAATCTTGGCAGGCACTCCTCCATGGAGCTTCACTCCCAACCCTGAAAGTAGGATTTTTAATTGGTTTCATAACACAAGAGTTCACGATACCATAGCTAATTACTCAGGTGTTTCTCCATTCACAAATGAAGTGAAGATCCAGCAAATCTTGCCTGGAGTCGGAGGCGCTGATAAGTAACTGTAAAGTCTGCTTTCATTCCACTGCAGTGCGTTCACCAGTTACGTATATTTTGAGAAATACTTTTGTATTGAAAATAATTCTCAGTTCTAAGTACGCAAAAGTTAACTTAGAAAGACCAAAGCTATTTAAAAAAAAATCACATGCCAATCTATGTATATCTGTTCTCTAATCAGAAATTTATATTGTCAGTGAAATATATGTTAATTTTTCAGCTGCATTTAACAATTCACTCAGTTCTTTAATTTGAATGACTGTTAAATGCTTGCCTCTTTTCCAGACAGTGACAATACTCTGGTCCTAACCTCATACAGTGTATGTTCTCACAGTTAATTGTTCTGGTCCCTTGCTCTTCTGCAGGGGTGTGGTGCAGTTGTTTAACGCTGTTCAGAAACATCAGAAGAACGTTGATGAGAAGGTTAAAGAGGCAGGAGGCTCTGTTAGGAAGCGTGCGAAGCTGATATCAAGTGTTTCCAAGAGAGATTTCATCAGTGTTCTCAGAGGCATGGACGGAACTACAAATGAGAAAAGTTCATCTGAAAAGAACCCAAAAGCCAAACAGGTAAGATTCTATATAGGACTCCGTACATCAGACGTTTTGCTTTTTCAGTTGGAAAATAAAAAAAGCTGTAGAATTATGATTTTATTTTCAGATATTATTGCAATTCCCGTGTTCCCACAGTCTAACTGAAAAGTTTGAATTCTTTAGTTTCATGATAATGGAAGATCAGTTTCAGGCACCGTACTTCTGCTGTTGGAACTCAGAGCCAAATGGGTGAAAGTGACTCTTGTAGTCTCCGCCTGCGAGGCCGCAGCAGTACAGCTTAGAGAGTGGAAGCCCGCGAGGGCCATAGCTTCCCTTGAGGACTTTACGCCACAGCAAGAATCGCGGCGAAGAGTCGCCGCTGTAGGGAGCGAGGCAGAAAGCCATCCTGTGCTGTGGCAGCTTTGGTGATACTTTTCTGGTGGGAAAAGTGAGCTTATACATACTTTCCCTGATCTTCAACGAAAAGACAGCCTTGCTTCTCCTGCCCTTTTGACATGGGCTGCAGTGGGGTCTGTTTTAATGTTGTAGGTAAAACGTTCTGTAATGTACTGTAATCCTTAATTGGTTTAAAACGTCAACATTCAGTGTAAATACTCGGTACGCTGTTTTAAGCTGACTACTTTGTGGTATTTTGTTATCGGAGCCATAGAACTAATCGAACATGTCTGTGTTGGAAAATAAATTTTTCTTAGAAATTTGAAGTGAATCGTCCCACTTTCCTGTCCCTCCCCGGCCCCTTTTTCTCTCGCTGAAGGTCTGCCCCTACTCTGGTTTCTAAGTCTTTACTCGTTGGAAGCTTTCAGAATCTTCTCCTTATTCCTGTTCTAGAATCTAGCAGAGAAACGCCCTGCGGGGGCCTGTGCTGTTCCTTGGGCTGAAGATTTTCTGGACTGTCCAGTGTGAGTTCAGCTTTCTCACTTCGGCACTAGTGGTGTTGGGTTAATGTTCGATTTCTTTTCTGCCTTTCTGTTCTGTTTTCTGTGGGTGGGATCCCATTAACATTAGATGGTTGTTGGATCTTGAGGCTTGGTCCTTTGGCCTTCAGAGCTTCTTTTCTTCAGTTTTCTATGACTGTCTTTTCTGGCAAAGTTCCTTGATTTCTGACCCTTCTGTAGAACTGAAAAATGTTGATTTCATGTGTTTAAATTCTGATGACTGTTTTGTACTCTTTGTTGCTTGGGGTTGTATTTTTATCTCACGGATATGATATGTTTCAAATTCTTCTTCTGCTCTGAATTGTCAGGTTTTTTTGTTTTGTTTTGTTTTTGTTTTAATTACTCCATGTTAGTGACACAGAAGAGTGAGGTTTGTTTGGGGAAATTGGTGTGTTGCATTTAACACATCTTGATCATTTTCAGTCCTAGAAGACCAGTTCTAAAGATCATCAGTACTTTGTTTTATTCATTTATTTATTTGTTACGTTTTTCATGGAGGTGAAAACCTGCAATACTTTCTGAGTCTGGCTTTATTTCACGTAACGTGATGGTGTCCGGTTGCATTCATTTTCCTGAAGATGATGGGATTTCTTTCCTCTTTATGGCCAAACAATATTCCATTTGATATGTCCCATGTTTCCTTTATCCAGTCATCTGTTGCTGGGAATCTTGGCTGTTTGCACATCACACCTTTTGTGAAGTGAGCCGCTGTGAGTGTGGCTATGTATTTATCACTGGAGTCTGCTGCATTCCATTCTTGCAGGAAGGTACAGAATTGTGATATAGCTGGATCAGGTCATACTTGTATTTTGAGTTTTCTTAGGAATCTCTGTGCTCATTTCCACAGTGGTTGTACTAGTTTACATTCCCACCAGAAGTGTAGGAGGGCTCTATTTCCCCCATCCTTACCATTATGTGTAGTTTTATTGTATTCTTCTTGCCTCTGACTAGGGTGAGATGGAATCCTAAAGTAGTTTGGATTTGCATTTCCCTAGTGGCTGGAGATGTTGGACATTTTTTCGTGTATGTCTTGGCCATTTGTGCTTCTTTTGAGAATGTTTATAAGGTTCATTTGCCCATTTTTTGACTGAGTTCTTTGGAGGTGCATTTTTTAAAGTTCTTTACTTGTTCTCTCGGTGCAGGTCCATGGTTTCTTACTTAGACATCAGCTTTTTCTTTCCTTGCAGGTCGTTTCTACTCTTCTCCCCAGTTCTTATCCTCCCAAAGTTTGTCACTGTATGTGCTACTGTTTTCACTTCCATATTGTTTGTTTGCTTAGAACTTTTATACCCTTACTTTAACTTTATTAGTTTGTCTGTACAGAGTGGAGATAAATGCATGTCTGATGTTTAACTGGAAGAGCTCCCTTTTACTTTAAAAGAAGAAATGTTGATCTTATAGTAGCTTCTTATTGCTTTAATAGAATTATTGATAGTCTTAAATTGATCAAAAAATTACAAAACATTAAATCTTTAAATATTTGATAATAGCTTTTTCTGTGCTTTGATGTAAATTACTAAAATACTTATGTGTAAAGATTTCCTAAAACTTCAGCCTTATGAAAAGGAAAATGTCCATTTTGTAAAGAGGATGTGAACACCCGTGTTTTTCTGGATTTGGAAATTCTTTGAGAGCAAGCTTTGTGATTGTCTCCGTTCCTTGGTGGCCCTTAGGTATTTAGGTGCGTGCACATGTGCATGTTTCCCTTACAGTGGTCTCGTGAGAGTGAGGAAGAGAAAGCGTGTGCAGGTTTATTTTGTCTCATGTTTTGATTTTTGTTTTTTAAACGTGGCACCTAGAATTACAGAGATTAGTTTCTCTAAAAGTCACATACCTAAGATCTTTGAGTCTATTTTGAGGGCATATATACTGTACACCTTTCATTCATTTTATATTTTCTATGTTTTATGTTTTTGTGAGCTACAAATTGAACAGAAAGAGCTACTGTTAAGTATCTGCTAGTTTGATTTAAATACATGATCACTTATAAGGATTTGGTGGAAATTCCCTAATCTTTCCCTTGCACCAAATAAATGACGAACCAAGCCAGCTACTTACGAGCATGTGGCAGGGTGCGTGGATTGATCTCTGGATGTTGGCCCTGAGTGGTAAAAAAAGAAAAAGGTTAAACGGTATTTAGGGCACTGTTTGAGGGCTCAACAAACACTTGTGTTTGTTTATGTTTTCATAAAAAGGTAAGCTTTATCTCTTAAGTGAATAATGTCTCCCTCATTTAAAGCATGCACTTTCCAGAGAGATTTGTTTTTCCAGTTGTTAAAATAATCAAGTTTTTTAAAAAATCAAGTTTTCATTAATGTAGAGACCTAAATTTTTTCCTTTGACGTCAAAGTTGTAGTTATGCCTTTAGCTCCTTTCTTTAAAAGCTAACTAACTAAATGCCTCTCACATTTCGTGAAATGTAGTTCTCTGTCCATAAAGGCAGGACAGAAGCAAGTGTGATGCGTTGTAAAGCGAGGATGTAGAGGCAGTTGTTAGGAAAGCCTTGACTCTGGGCTACCTGTGCTCTTGGAGTCAGACTTCCTGCAGGGGTTCATTTATCTAAAATTCCCAATGTATCAGTGTCAGGATTTGTTCTGTTGCTGTGAAGCCACGGTAATGATTTTGTAGTAAGGGAAGTTGCTGGCTGGTGTCTGTAAGAGAGCAGTTTCCTTAGCAATGGCAGCACAGCAAACGTCAATCAGAGTCCCTAAGACATTCATTTCACCTGAATGTCAGCCTTACGGACAAGCTGGGGTGCCGTGTTCTATATATCTCTCTTAAATGGAAGCCTCGTAATTCGTTCTTAGCTAGGTATTCAGTGGTGCGAAGGACTGCTTTTGAATCATCAGGCTTCTTTGGTACCTGTAACCTGTCTGGTACCTGGTAGCCCAGTCTGAATGGAACTATATCCCTGTGATTCCTAGACCCCGCTGAGTAAAGAGGGAGAGGGAAGCGGGGAGTCGTGGCAGTGGGAAGGCTTCTCCCACAGGTCTGTGGTGTCCCGTGCCAGGCAGGGCTTCCTTTTCAGGTGGAGTTGGGGTGTGGAAGGCATGTGAAAGAGAGGCCTTTCAGCTGCTCCGACTGGAATGTGTGGGATCCTAACTTTGTAAATAATTCAGCTTACTGTTTGTTTACTGAAAATGCCTAAATAGATTCCAGTTTAGACAAAAGGGAGACTCTTAAGTTTGAAATGAGAACGAGCAGGATTGTACACATTATTGTGGATGAGAAGAGTTGAAAGGCAGTTTCTCATTGTATTCACTTCCATTAAAATGTGCTCTCTGCTTTGCCCGTGAGGTAGTTTGTGGCGTTGTAATTGAAGCAACGTGTGTTTGGCCGTACGGTACAGGCAGCACTGGCCTGGGCAGAGTGAAGTAGTCTTCCGGTCCTGCTCTGTTGAGAAAGCCGTGCCGTACTTCCATCGGTGCTGTAGCAGGAAACGCTCTTGCTGTTTGAAACAGCTCAAGTGGCTTCGTGAGTGAGGTTTTGGTTTTTTAAAAGCAAAATTGTCCTGCGCAGTGACCCCTGTACCACGTTTACACCTGTAGTGCAGTTTTAAAAATCAAAAGAATATTTGATTGTTTCTTACTAGAAGGTGGCATTTTGAGGGATGGGCAGCGGAGAGGAGAGCGCTTGTGCGGGTGCTCCGTGACGGAGGCTCCAGGCCCCAGCACCAGCCTGCTGGCTTCAGAGCACCTGCTGTCCGCAGGCGTAAGAATCTCCTGCGCTTGGGACTGCGTGCGAGTCAGTGAGCTCCTACCCAGGGTGCTTGGAAAGAAGGGCCGGTGCGTCACCGCTGCTTTGTGGAGGTCTCGGTGCCTTTTCCTCCCTGACAGCTAATAACTGAACCTGGATTCTAAAGCGGGAAATTAGTTTTAAAGGGAACTCTTTCTCTTCTTATCTGAATCACTAGATAAATCCAGAAGATAGATAAAATAATTTAACAAAAATTATATTTAAATTTGGAAGTTTTTGGTCATTTTAGACATAGTGGGTTTAATAATGCATAGTTCTTAAAGATCATAAAACTAGATTTTGCGGGACTAGGATTTGTGCACTTTGTCGTGTGCCGTTTTAGGC